GATACACCAAAGACATAGTAAACTAATGTGTGGTAGGCCTTCACCATTTCAGAATTTCAACCTTTCAGATTTAGTATTCATGAATACTAGGTAGTAGGTTGGTAGACAGCAACCGCCCAGGGAGGTACTACCGTCCTGCCAGTGAGTGTAAAACGAAAGCCTGTAATTGTTTTACATGATGGTAGGATTGCTGGTGTCCTTTTTTCTGTCTCATGAACATGCAAAATTTCAGGTACGTCTTGCTACTTCTACTTACACTCAGGTCACACTACACATACATGTACAAGCGTATATATACATACCCCTCTGGGTTTTCTTCTATTTTCTTTCTAGTTCTTGTTCTTGTTTATTTCCTCTTATCTCCATGGGGAAGTGGAACAGAATTCTTCATCCGTAGGCCATGCTTGTTGTAAGAGGCGACTAAAATGCCGGGAGCAAGGGGCTAGTAACCCCTTCTCCTGTATATATTACTAAATTTGAAAGGAGAAACTTTGGTTTTTTCTTTTGGGCCACCCCGCCTTGGTGGGATACGGCCGGTGTGTTGAAAGAAAGAAAAGAATACTAATGTGTGTGTAAAGGTAGAAAGTTGAAAGTGAACATAGAAAAGAGTATGGTGATGAGGGTATCAAATGACTTAGATAAAGAAAAATTGGATATCAGATTGGGGAGGAGGAGTATGGAAGAAGTGAGTGTTTTCAGATATTTGGGAGTCGACATGTCAGCGGATGGATTTATGAAGGATGAGGTTAACCATAGAATTGATGAGGGAAAAAAGGTGAGTGGTGCATTGAGGTATATGTGGAGACAAAAAATGTTATCTATGGAGGCAAAGAAGGGAATGTATGAAAGTATAGTAGTACTAACACTCTTATATGGGTGTGAAGCTTGGGTTGTAAATGCTGCAGCAAGGAGGCAGTTGGAGGCAGTGGAGATGTCCTGTCTAAGGGCAATGTGTGGTGTAAATATTATGCAGAAAATTCGGAGTGTGGAAATTAGGAGAAGGTGTGGAGTTAATAAAAGTATTAGTCAGAGGGCTGAAGAGGGGTTGTTGAAGTGGTTTGGTCATTTAGAGAGAATGGATCAAAGTAGAATGACATGGAGAGCGTATAAATCTGTAAGGGAAGGAAGGCGGGGTAGGGGTCGTCCTCGAAAAGGTTGGAGGGAGGGGGTAAAGGAGGTTTTGAGGGCGAGGGGCATGGGCTTCCAGCAAGAGTGTGTGAGCGTGTTAGATAAGAGTGAATGGAGACGAATGGTATTTGGGACCTGACGAGCTGTTGGAGTGTGAGTAGAGTAATATTTAGTGAAGGGATTCAGGGAAACTGGTTATTTTATATAGCCGGACTTGAGTCCTGGAAGGGAAGTACAATGCCTGCACTTTAAAGGAGGGGTTTGGGATATTGGCAGTTTGGAGGGATATGTTGTGTATCTTCATACGTATATACTTCTAAACTGTTGTATTCTGAGCACTTCTGCAAAAACAGTGATTATGTGTGAGTGAGGCAAAAGTGTTGAATGATGATGAAAGTATTTTCTTTTTGGGGATTTTCTTTCTTTTTGGGTCACCCTGCCTCGGTGGGAGATGGCCGACTTGTTAAAAAAAAAAAAAAAAAAAAAAAGAATAGGTCGACCCACAATTTTTGGCTGAAAAATTTGGTCCTATAATCTTGAACTATAGAACCTCTCCTCACTTAGTGACATACTCGTTTACCAATGACTTGGACTTACGACAAGCTCTCTGACCAGTATGCATACCTAAATACAGTGGTCCCTCAATAATCGTCCGGCCTGAAAGTCGTCCATTTCGGAAATAGTCCCGTTGTTTCGTCTAAACATTGGCTCACAAATGGTCCATTAACTCGCTAATTGTCTTTCGTCCTGGACGCATACTCACGGCTCGGCCTCCCTTCCCAGCCAGTGTGCCATTGTTTACCAGTGAGCAACGGTCCCCTCACATGTTCTTACGAAATATTTCATAATATTCCATTCATTTTAGTGCTTGCAAGTGCTAAATAAGCTACCATGGCTCCCAAGAAAGCTCCTAGTGCCAAGCCTTTGGTAAAGAAGGTGAGAAATACGATTGAATTTAAGAAAACCATCATTGAACAATATGAAAGTGGTACAAGTGTGGCCGAACTGTCCAGGATGTATAAGAAACCCTACACATCCTTATGTTCCATAGTGGCCAAGAAAAAGGAAATCAAGGAAGCTGTTGTTGCAAAGGGGGTAAATATGCTGACAAAAATGAGGCCACCAGTACTCGAAGATGTTGAGAAGTTATTATTGGTGTCGATAAACGAGAAACAATTAGCAGGAGATAGTCTCATGACGTCGCTTATTTGTGAAAAGGCTAGGCAGTTGCATGACAATTTGGTAAAGAAATTGCCTGCAACTAGTGGTGATGTGAGTGAATTTAAGGCCAGCAAAGGCTGGTTTGAGAGATTTAAGAAGCGTATTGGCATACACAGTGTGATAAAGCATGGTGAGGCTGCCAGTTCGGACCAAAAAGCGGCTGAAAAATATGTGCAGGAATTCAAGGAGTACATAGAGGCTGAAGGACTGAAACCTGAACAAGTGTTCAATTGTGATGAAACAGGCCTCTTTTGGAAGAAAATGCCAAAGAGGACCTACATTACCCTGGAGGAAAAGGCACTGCCAGGACACAAGCCTATGAAAGACAGGCTGATGCTCATGTTCTGTGCTAATGCTAGTGGGGATTTCAAAGTGAAGCCGTTACTAGTGTACCATTCTGAAAATCCCAGAGTGTTCAAGAAAAACAATGTTATGAAGAGTAAATTGTGTGTGTTTTGGAGATCTAATAATAAGGCATGGGTCACGAGGGAAATTTTCGTTGAGTGGTTCAATGAAGTGTTTGGCCCTAGTGTGAAGAATTACCTCCTGGAAAAGAAATTGGATCTCAAGTGCCTCCTAGTAATGGACAATGAACCTGCTCATCCTCCAAACTTGGATGACCTAATTCTGAAGAAGTCTGAGTTCATCACAGTAAAGTTCTTGCCCCCGAATACCACTCCTCTCCTCCAGCCCATGGACCAGCAGGTCATTTCAAACTTTAAAAAATTCTACACCAAAACAATGCTTGAAAGGTGCTTTAATGTGACCTCAGACACTCACTTGACCCTAAAAAAGATTTTTGGAAAGAACACTTCAGTAAGGCTTGGGAGGGAGTGACTACCAGGACTTTGAACTCTGCTTGGAGAAAATTGTGGCCAGATTGTGTCCACAAGAGGAATTTTGAAGGGTTTGAGGCAGCCCCTTGATGAGCCTGTCAGTTGTGAACTCTATTGTGGCACTGGGGAGTTCCATGCGGTTGGATGTGAGTTTGGATGTGTATGTTTTTTTATGTTAATGCCCAGGGTTTATTACCTGGACCTCAGCAATGAGAGTGGCTACGGCGACCAGTGCAATGTGAGTTTGGAGGATGTGGAAGAGTTGGTGGAGGACCACAACGAAGAGCTAACCACTGAGGAGCTGCAAGAGCTTCAGCAGGAAGAGCAACAGATCGCAGCTCAGAATCTTGCTGCAGAGGAGGAGGAAGGGAGATGGAAGAAGGTGCCTTCTTCAGAAATTAAGGAGATTTTTGAAATGTGGGGTAGGATGGAAAGATTTATGGAGAAACATCACCCTGAGAAGGATGTTGCAAGCCATATCGGCAACTTGTATAGTGACAGAGTCTTGGCCCATTTTAGGGAAGTTTTAAAGAGACATCAGAAACAGAGCTCTCTGGACAGTTTTTTTGTGCGACAGGACTCCAGTGACTCTCAAGCTGGTCCTAGTGGCATTAAGAAACAGAGAAGAGAAGTAACCCCAGAAAAGCACTTGGTACCTGAGGTGTTGATGGAAGGGGATTCCCCTTCCAAACAGTAATTCAATCTCTCTCCTCCTCCAGTCTTCCATACACTTAGAAGAATCGCCAATAAAGGCAAGTGTTATGTTGTTAATGTTTCCTTCATCATGTCCCATTGTATTGTTTATGTACTACATCTATATTTCATGTAAAAAAATTTTGTTTTAATACTTCTGGGTGTCAGGAATGGATTAATTGTATTTACATTATTTCTTATTGGGAAAATTGATTCAAAAATCGTCTATTTCGATAATAGTCCCACTTCCAGGAACGGATTAAGGACGATAATTGAGGGACCACTGTAATGTATATTAGAGCTGATTTCCTCAATTCTGTTTATTGCAGTATACAGTACACTACTGTATAAACATTTAAAAATATACTAAAAATGTTATAAATGGTGCAAAGATGACATTAAAACAATATAAAAAATGGTTGACACAAGCCCACTACCATTATAGTACATGTATTCTCCTTGCTTAGCGATGAATTTGTTTACCGATGTAGTCTTAGGAACGGAACTCCACCTATTGTTCCATTTATTGTTTTATCATAGTGTATTACTACTACTACTAAAACTTATATCACTACTACTACTACTACCACTAGTATTGCACCTCACTCTGAGCCTATATATACCCTCTGTGTCCATGTACTGTTTGTAACGGCTTGACAAAGCTCCTGGAGAGCAAAACGTTGCCACAATAAAATGTCACATTAGTTGTACTTGTGTCCTTTTACTTAACATATTGTCGGTAATTCTACCAACATTATTACAACTCCATCATTAAGTGAGGAGAGGCTGTACTGTACTTTGGTATATAGGGTATGTATTAATGTCTGCTGTGTTTCCCCCAAAAAGTCTGTTGAAGTGATATCATGCTATTCATATCATGTTTTGCCACCCATGCACACCTATCAAAGTATTACTTTAGTAGTATGCACATGTATATTCACCTTTTTGTTATAAGTAACACTTCCAAAATTCAAATTTTATATTGATATGCAATTCCACCTTGTCCTTAAAATATCATTAATGTTATTTATTCATAAAGTCTTGAGACATTATCAAACTTTATTATCTCTAAAACACTATCCAGGCTACTGCAGTTTTGAGTAATCTTCTTTATCACTGCAGGCTTATATTGCTTCAAGCAGTGAAGATGATGAGGATAGTTATTTGGGGGAAGAAGGTCATGTAAGTGATGAAGATGATGATGATGACGATGATGACAAAGAAGCCATCAAGGCTACTCAGATTGCTAAGTTTAGGGCTTTAATTAATGAAATTAATGAAAAAGAAAGAAGAAAAAGAGAAAAAGATATTGATATGGAAGAAACCTTTAATTTGAAAATTGATTCAAGTGAAAAGACAAAACATGCAGAGAAAGAAGATACTAAGAAAACAGAACAGCTTAATCCTTTTGAACAGTACCTAGAAAAAAGAAAGAAGAAGAGAAAAAATAGAGAACAGAGGAAGAAGGGAAAAAATGAAGTTAAGGATACAAGCAGTGAAGAAGAAAATGAATCTAATGGTATTTCAGATGATGAACTTCCAGAAGATGTTGGTGATTTATACACTGACCCTTTCTTTGCTGAGGAATTAAAGAAGATGGATGGAAGTAAAAATACCAAGAAGATAAAGAAGAAACAAGCTAATGTTGAAGTGTGTGAGAGTAATGAGCAGGTAAATATGATTATTATTGTTGTAAATTCTTAGTAATAGAAACAGGGTTTTTTACAACAATGATAAAACATGCATTAAGTTTCAGTTTGTTGTAAGCAGAGATTTTAAAGATAATGTAGATAAGTTTGATCTACTTTGTTGTGCTTTCCAGGATCACTAGTCCTTGACCCAGTCTTTGACTAGTCTGCCAGATTAACAACCAAATTAACCTGACACTCTGGGCTGATTAGGGATGGTTTGCAGGAGTAAATTTCCTTGAAGACAGTTGGGGAGATCTGTTAGTAATTGCCCTTGTATTTGAAGGGATAGTTGAAGAGTTGTCTTATTTCCCTTATTGCATTTTTGCTTTTTGTTAGAGCTATATTGTACTATGTTTAACAGGCTTTCATTTTATATTCATATGACAAGACGGTAATACCCATGTGATAACTCCTTCAGTTGTTTAATGTCTGTCATTGTACTTCCTACTTCATTATGTCACTACTGTATAGTAAGATATTGAGCTCCAGTAAAGCATATATCCTGTTGTGTTGTAATAGTCTTTTATGAACATCTGGCATATTTCACTGTGGTAAACTTTTAACATCAACTCTTGTACTATAAACTTAATTTAGTTTAACATTTAATTACCAAAAAATATGGTGTTAGCCAGCTATAGTAACAGGACTTGATGCTGTGCATACTGTGCAAAGGAGAAAGGAAAATTGGTATATGATTCTTCCACCTTCTAAGAGAAGATAAAAATATTGCTGATACAGAGGTACCAGGTCCTATTACATGATGGGCTGTGACGGCTATGAAAATCTGGGCTCAGATTGCAATAGCCTGTTTGATCAGGAGGTCAACAGGGAAGTCTGGTCACAGGTCATTATGCATGAATAGAAAAAAATACCCAACCCCAGGCACAATGGTGTCCTTTCCAGAGTGTTAAAATAAAATAATCTTGCAATTCTTGTTTCTGAGTTTTCCTTTTACTTATTCCCTTAAATTTCATAATTACTATTTTTCTGCTCTATACTGTACTTATCCTTTTGCATGTACTGATTCCTAAAGCACTTCTTAAAGTATTATTAGGCATGATGCCAGCTGAAGGAGATTAAAAATTAATAGGTTTTGTACACCCCAAGCACATTGCATTTATAAGAATTATAAATAGTATGTAAAATGTCAAAATATGATGAAAAACATGATTTTCTTTGGTGAATGTACAGTATCAATAATATGTAAGTATTTCTTATATGAAATATGTTTAGCAGAATATAATAAGAATTCTGAACATTAGATCTCCTTGGGTGACCCCACAAAAATCATAATTGCTTCCCTTGCAATGTTAGTGTATTAGTTTTAAACTGTAATTGCCAAAAATACATTAAGATATTAGAGGTTGGCATTTATTAAAACAGCTGATATACAGTACTGTAATGTGTTAATTGTGCTAATCTTCAGTAGCTTAATCAGAGCTGATTAGAAAGTAATGATAATGGCAAGAAATGCTTTGTACATATTTTTCTTTTAAGTATAGAAAACTTTTGGTTTTAATAAGAAAGATGGTTACTTTATATTATTTTTCTTCCATAGAAAGACCTTCAATTATTGCTTATGGATGAGGATGATGAGGCTAAGAAGCACTTTAGTATGAGAGAGATTATTGAAGAACACAAAGAAAAGAAGAAGAGACGAAAGAACAAAGCACAAAAGAAGCAGCAAAAGCAAGCCACTGTAGATGACTTTCAGGTTTGAAAACAGAAGACTCTCTTTATCTTAATATTTAGTGTTATAGATACATTTTTTTTTTTTTTTTTGGTGGAGGGAAGGGGAAGAAATATAGCCCACTGATTATAATTAAGTCAAGGTAAAGACAAATTAAGTTGCATAAGTTGTTAACAAGCTTAGAGTTTTTTGAATTATCAATAGTTACAATTTAACATTATCCATGGAAACGATAAGGAAAATGTATCAAAGTATATAGCGATATCAACAGTTTTATATGGGTTCAAAGCATAGGTTTTAAATGTTGCAGTGAAGAGACTTGAGGCAGTAATGTGCCTAAGAGTAATGTGTGGTATGAATATTATGCAGGAGGTGCAGGGTTGCTAAAAGTATTATCCAGACGACTGAGCAGGGGTTATGGAGGTGGTTTGGACGTTTAGAGGGCAGAGCAAAATGGGATGACTTGGAGGGTGTTTAAATCTGTAGTGGAGGGAAAGCAGGGTAGGAGTCATCTAGGAAAGGGTGAAAGGACAGGGTAAAATAGGTTTTATATGCAAGGGGCTTGGACTTCCAACAGGTTTGTGTGTAAGTGTGTGTATGAGATAGAAGTGGTATAAACCTTGGTAATAAATACCGACAAGTTGGTTTAGAAAGACACGTAAGCAAACACTATAACATATTTATTAGAAAATGTTTCGGTCCTGGGACCTTGATCACTTCTAACATACAGAGGTAGAAAGACATTATATATATAGGCGGAGAGTGAGATGTGACGCACGTGACCTGAGGAATGTCATAAGAACATAAGAATGGAGGAACACTGTAGAAGGCCTACTGGCCCATGCGAGGCAGGTCCTTATCAAAACAACCTCTACCTATGATGAGGACGGGTAGACGATGAAATCATGTGACTCCTGTGTTGTTGGGTTGGTGCTGCTTAAGTATCATGTATGCCAATGTTCTTTACCAATGTTCCTACTGACGCTGCAATCAACATTCTGAGACAGAGGCTCACTGAAAACCACGACCTCCCTTTACCTCTTCTAGATTTCATCAATCTAGTGGAACTTTGTGTTAATTTCAATTTCTTCAAGTATCAGGACAACTGTTACAAACAATGCTTTGGGATGGCAATGGGCAGCCCGCTCAGTGCTGTGCTTACCAACCTCTTCATGGAAAACCTGGAGACAGAGAAATTCAGCACCCTCATTCCCAACACCGTTACCTGGCTAAGATACGTTGATGATATATTGGTTTTCTATCCGAGACGTCTCAATATCCAGGCCCTTCTCAACAAGATCAATGCAGTTGAACCATCAATAAAGTTTACACTCGAACTCGAAAATGATGGCAAACTTCCTTTCCTCGACGTTCTACTGTGCAGATCTCCCGACAGTGACAAACTTCTCTTCAAAGTGTATAGAAAACCTACCAACAAGGACAATCTTATACATTTTTATTCACACCAAGACACCCGCACTAAGAGAGGAGTCCTCATTGGCTTCTTCTTGAGAGCTCTTCGCATATCCAGCCCTTGTTTTCTAGAAGAAGAATGCACTTACATAACACAAGCCTTTACACGTCTTCAGTTCCCATCTTTCTTCATCCGAGATTGCAGACTCAAGGCACAAGCTATCCTCAACAAACCACCCATGGAACAGCCCCCTAAACAGTTCATAGTACTCCCATGTGGCGATGTTCCCACGAATACTCGCCGAGCACTTGCTATGAGTAACATCAACGTTTCCACCATAAACACATCATCTATCAAAGACCTCACTACGAAACGCAGCCCCACACCTCTAACTTCTACAGCAGGCGTCTACACTATCCCCTGTGGGCTCTGTCCCAAGAAATATGTAGGCGAGACAGGCAGAGATCTTGCAGTCCGCCTGAATGAACATCGAAATGCCTCTAACAGAGACGATGTAAGGTATGCCTGTGTCCTCCACAGAGACTCCACGGGGCATTTGATGAACTGGAACGAGGCACAACTCGTTCTCACCGAACCAGACCTCAGACGCCGACGGTGCCTAGAAGCCTCACTAATCGCCGTCACCGACACTATAGAACGCAACACTGGAAACTACAAAATTTCAAAAACATTGGCATACATGTTACTTAAGCAGCACCAACCCAACAACACAGGAGTCACATGATTTCATCGTCTACCTGTCCTCATCATAGGTAGAGGTTGTTTTGATAAGGACCTGCCTCGCATGGGCCAGTAGGCCTTCTACAGTGTTCCTCCATTCTTATGTTCTTATGACATTCCTCAGGTCACGTGAATCACATGTCACTCTCCGCCTATATATATAATGTCTTTCTACCTCTGTATGTTAGAAGTGATCAAGGTCCCAGGACCGAAACGTTTTCTAATAAATATGTTATAGTGTTTGCTTACGTGTCTTTCTAAACCATGAGATAGGAGTGAATGGGGGTATGTGGTTTTAATGACCTGAAGTATTGTTGCAGTGTGGGCAAGGTAGCATATATGACAGGATTCAGGGAAATCTGTTAGCCAGACTCAAGCCCTGGAGGTGAGACATACAGTGCCAGCAATCTGAAGGTTGGGTGGGAACGTTGTAGTCTGGAGGGGCATCTAAGCTGTAATTATGCACGCCTCTGGCAAGACAGTGATGGAGTGAGTATGTAATGGTAAAAGTGCATCTTCTTTTTTGGATCATGTTACCTAGGTGGGACATGGCCAATATATTAAAAAAAATGAACCACATAGGAAATGATGCAGTATTTATTTAATATATTTGACCCTTATTTAGAATCATACGATTTTTTTGCTCTGAAAATATCAAGGAAGAGTGTCAGGTACATCATATGTCTGTAAATATGATAGAGTTCTGTCTAAATTATTGCTTGTACAATATTCAACATCTATCTCTGTATGAAGTTAGTCAGTGCTGTATGATTCATATTTGTTTAGCTCTTGTATTTTAATATAATTATTCTGTTGTGACTTCACTAACTTAGTCTATTTTGTACGCATGCAACCTATGATTGCAAGTGATTGATATGTTTAGTTAAGACTATGTTTTAGGCCAACCCTCTCTAGCTAGGACAGAGAGCATAATAGGCTACAATTTTAAAGTGTTGTTGTTAAAAGGTCTAGGGTTTTAAAACGTCAGCCTCTTCCATGCTTTTGAAGATACTTCAGTGATGCTGGATAGTCTTATTTATACCTTACTTCAATAATAATAATAATAATATCATTCTTTGTATGAGCACTTTGGTCTAACCAGATTTAATAGTGTTTAGTCTTCTTCCAGGATAATGCACGTGTCTTACATTCTAAAAGATATGAAACTTTTCAGGTTAATGTTACTGACCCAAGATTTGCTCCTCTGCTCACATCTGGAGAGTACAACATTGACCCTTCACATCCCCAATTCAAACGTACCAAGGCTATGGATAATCTCATCAGTGAGGTACAAAGGAAAAGGATGGCAGAAACTTTTGAGAACCTTGTAAGTGCTCAGTTTTATGATTTATCAACAATTGCATTTTCTGATCTTAATTTATAAGATAATTATTACCACTATTAAATAAGCTACAGATATACAAATTTTCATTAAAAATAAAAATAAAATCTGTTTATGCTGTTGTTGATAATTGCTGGACTGTCCCAAATTTTTATAGCAAAGATTTAAAGCCAGGAAAGGTGATTTTAGTTGTATATAATTTTATTCATCAATCATACCACATACTCCACTAAAAAAAAAAAAAAGATATATTATGAAATCCATTTTTTTTCTGGGAACAAATTGAGGTGGTTTGGATGCTTAGAGAGGCTGGAGCAAACTGAGATCAGTAGTTGAGCATATAACTTTGGATGTGAGGGAAGTAGGGGTAAGGATCATCCCAGGATGGGTTATAGGGAAGGGGTAAGGGAGATTTTGAGTACTAGGTGCTTGGACATCCAAGAGGATTATGTGAGTGTGTTAGATAAGAGTGCATGGAGACAAGTGGCTTTTAATGAATGAGCTATTAGAGTGTGAAGAGGAGAGATTTATATGAGAGGATTCAGGGAAAACTGGTTAGCTGGACCTGAGCCTGGAGGTGGCAAGGGCAGTGCTTGCACTCTGAAAGAGGGGTGGGGAAGTTGCAGTTGGAGGGTAATCTGATTGTGATGTGAACACACTTTCTGAGAAGATGGCAGTTGAATGAATTTTGGTAAATGTTTTCTTTGGGTTCTAGGTACTAGGTTGGTAGACAGCAACCACCCAGGTAGGTACTACCATCCTGCCAAGTGAGTGTAAAACGGAAACCTGTAATTGTTTTACATGATGATAGGATTGCTGGTGTCTTTTTTCTGTCTCTTAAACATGCAAGATTTCAGGTACGTCTTGCTACTTCTACTTACACTTAGATCACACACACATGCATGTACAGTGGAACCTCGGTTTTCATTTATAATTTGAGGAGAACTTAAGCAATATTTCCCATAAGAAATAATGTAAATCCCATTAATCCATTCCAGACACCCAAAAATATTAACAAAAAATGCATTTTATAGAGAATAACTAGTTTTACATACAGAAAACAATGAGAAATAATTTTTTTTTTTTCAACAAGTCGGCCGTCTCCCACTGAGGCAGGGTGACCCAAAAAAGAAAGAAAATCCCCAAAAAGAAAATACTTTCATCATCATTCAACACTTTCACCACACTCACACATTATCACTGTTTTTGCAGAGGTGCTCAGAATACAACAGTTTAGAAATAAATATAAAATAAATATAAAGCACTATTTTAATGGATAAATGAACATATAAATCAGTTTTACCTTTATTGAAGACTCTTGTTGGCATATTCTTTATGAGATCCACATGGAGCTGCCTTGCCTTTTCACAAATTATCGCCTCCACAACACTATCTCCAGCTAACTGTTTTTCATTGATCCACACCAACAACAACCTCTCAACATCTTCAGTTGTTTGCCATCATTACCACCCTCTACCACTATCACTACCACCCTCTACCACAATCACTACCACCCTCTACCTTTTTAGAGGGTAGTAGTGATATTTCTCCACAAAGCTTTGCAACTCATTCTACGAGTTCTTTCTTGAATTCTATCGTGTTTCTCACCTTTATCAAAGGGCTGGCATTCGGAACTTTCTTTGGCCCCATGGTGGCTTATTTAGTAGTTGCACTCAATAAACAAGCACAAAAAACAATCAAGTATTACGAAATGTTTTGTGTGAATGCACAGGGTAATGTTCACTTGACAGGAAACAAAGCCAGACTAACTCAGAATGCGTGCATGGGATGCTTTGTGTGGGTGCGGGCACATGGACACGTTCCATACGGCGGATGAAAATCAAGGTGACAAACGAAAACTGGGAGAATATTTTGATGAAAGTTATCGAAAACCAAATTTGATGGAAACCAGGGCAAATGAAAACCAAGGTTCCACTGTACAAGCATATATATACACAAACTTCTGGGTTTTCTTCTATTTTCTTACTAGTTCTTGTTCTTGTTTATTTCCTGTTATCTCCATGGGGAAGTGGAACAGAATTCTTCCTCCGTCAGCCATGCGTGTTGTAAGAGGTGACTAAAATGCTGGGAGCAAGGAGCTAGTAACCTCTTCTTCTGTATACATTACTAAAATTATAAAGAGAAACTTTTGTTTGTCTTTTTGGGCCACCCTGCCTCAGTGGGATATGGCTGGTTTGTTGAAAGAATATAGTTGCCTATACCTTGACAAAATTTTGGGAACCTATTTGAACTATTCATGTGCAATAACTGCTTAGTTTTGTAGCAAGTGAATGGAAACAACTTTTCATGGGCTCACCCCTTAGTGCAGTCCTAGCCAATTTATATAGGGAGGACCTAGAATTCACATGGATCCTAACCCTTTCACTGTTGAAGGACCCTATGTTCAATGCTCCTTCAGTGTTGCAATTTAAAAAAATAATTCTGAAAATGAAGAACTTGACAAAGCTTCTGGAGAAAATGTTGCCACAATATAATGTCTCATTAGCTGCACTTGTGTCCTTTTACTTAACATTTTTCTCTTTCAACAAACCGGCCATGTCCCACTGAGGCAGGGTGGCCCAAAAAGAAAAATGAAAGTTTCTCTTTTTAACTTTAGTAATGTATTCAGAAGAAGGGGTTACTAGCCCCTTGCTCCCAGCATGTTAGTCGCCTCTTATGACATGCATGGCTTACAGAAGAATAATTCTGTTCCACTTCCCCATGGAGATAAGAGGAAATAAACAAGAACAAGAACTAGTAAGAAAATAGAAGAAAACCTGAAGGGGCATGTTTATATATATGCTTGTACATGCATGTGTAGTGTGACCTAAGTGTAAGTAGAAGTAGCAAGACGTACCTGAAATCTTGCATGTTTATGAGACAGAAAAGAAACACCAGCAATCCTACCATCATGTAAAACAATTACAGGCTTTCATTTTACGCTCACTTAGCAGGACAGTAGTACCTCCCTGGGTGGTTGCTGTCTACTAACCTACTACCTAGGTTTTACTTAACATATTGTAGGTAGTTCTACAAACATTATTAAAACTCATTTTTCTGATACTAAAACTGAATTGAAATTGGGTCAATAAGTAAGGAGCTATGAAGGTAGGAAGATGAAGGTCATTGATTTTGTGATAGCAACATTGGATGTTGCCATGCTGTGTATTGATACCTTTTTTTTTCTTTTTTTTTTTTTCAACAAGTCGGCCATCTCCCACCGAGGCAGGGTGACCCAAAAAAGAAAGAAAATCCCCAAAAAGAAAATACTTTCATCATCATTTAACACTTTCACCACACTCACACATCACTGTTTTTGCAGAGGTGCTCAGGATACAACAGTTTAGAAGCATACACATATAAAGATACACAACATATCCCTCCAAACTGCCAATATCCCAAACCCCTCTTTTAAAGTACAGGCATTGTACTTCCCATTTCCAGGACTCAAGTCCGACTGTATGAAAATAACCGGTTTCCCTGAATCCCTTCACTAAATATTACCCTGCTCACACTCCAACAGATCGTCAGGTCCCAAGTACCATTCGTCTCCATTCACTCCTATCTAACACGCTCACGCATGCTTGCTGGAAGTCCAAGACCCTTGCCCACAAAACCTCCTTTACCCCCTCTCTTCAACCCTTTCGAGGACGACCCCTACTCCGCCTTCCTTCTCCTATAGATTTATATGCTTTCCATGTCATTCTACTTGGATCCATTCTCTCTAAATGACCAAACCACCTCAACAAACCCTCTTCTGCCCTCTGATTAATACTTTTATTAACTCCACACCTTTTCCTAATTTCCACACTCCGAATTTTCTGCATAATATTTACACCACACATTGCCCTTAAACAGGACATCTCCACTGCCTCCAACCGTCTCCTCGCTGCTGCATTTACCACCCAAGCTTCACACCCATATAAGAGTGTTGGTACTACTATACTTTCATACATTCCCTTCTTTGCCTCCATAGATAACATTTTTTGACACCCTCATCACCTTACTCTTTTCTATGTTCACTTTCAACTTTCTACCTTTGCAATTTTTCTTTAGAATCTTCCATAAGCACAGTATCATCAGCAAAAAGTAACTGTGTCAATTCCCATTTTGAATTTGATTCCCCAAAATTTAATCCCACCCCTCTCCCGAACACCCTAGCATTTACTTCCTTTACAACCCCATCTATAAATATATTAAACAACCATGGTGACATTACACATCCCTGTCTAAGACCTACTTTTACTAGGAAGTAGTCTCCCTCTCTTCTACACACCCTAACCTGAGCCTCACTATCCTCATAAAAACTCTTTACAGCATTTAATAACTTACCACCTATTCCATATACTTGCAACATCTGCCACATTGCTCCTCTATCCACTCTATCATATGCCTTTTCTAAATCCATAAATGCAATAAAAACTTCCCTACCTTTATCTAAATACTGTTCACATATATGCTTCAATGTAAACACTTGATCTACACATCCCCTACCCACTCTGAAACCTCCTTGCTCATCCGCAATCCTACATTCTGTCTTACCTCTAATTCTTTCAATTATAACCCTACCGTACACTTTTCCTGGTATACTCAGTAAACTTATTCCTCTATAATTTTTACAGTCTCTTTTGTCCCCTTTCCCTTTATATAAAGGGACTATACATGCTCTCCGCCATTCCCTGGGTACCTTCCCCTCTTTCATACATTTATTAAACAAATTTCCCAACCACTCCAACACTATATCCCCCTGCTTTTAACATTTCTGTCATGATCCATCAGTTCCAGCTGCTTTCCCCCCTTTCATTTTACGTAGGCCTCACATACCTCCCCCACACTTACATTCTGCTCTTCTTCACTCCTAAAAGATGGTATACCTCCCTGACCAGTGCATGAAATTACTGCCTCTGTTTCTTCTTAACTTTTTAAAAGTTCCTCAAAATATTCTCGCCATCTACCTAATACCTCCATCTCCCCATCTACTAACT